GCCGGAGCCAGGGCGGGGTTCTGGAGGCAGGGAACTTCAGGTATAATTTCGTCTGACGCGTGTGATCCCTTCCCCTATCTCTTATCCCCTGGGTATTCGAATATGTATATGGAAGGTTATTACCTTTTGGTTTATTATGTATGTCAGGACATGCATTGTGAGAAACCTAAATGAACAAGCTATGTACGAGTATTCAGATAATCTATGAGAGAATTCAAGCAGAATGAATTGGGGGAAGGTGGGATAAAGGTGTTATGTATGCTTTGACTGGGTCAACCCAAGGCTGAGCTCCCCTAGGTTGGTGTGGGCTCAGTGCTATGTTTATTTATGTTTGTTGGGCTAACTGTGTGATCTTTGAGGGCTGGGCCTATCCTAGGTTGGACGGACCAGTCGGTGTTTTCTCTGGGGTTTCTGAACAGGAGGATGGACGCCCTAGGTTGGGAAGGCTCGGATTCCTGGTGTTTCTTTTGATGGGCTTGAGGTGTGTCTTCTTCTGAGGGGAACAAAGGCATGAGACTAAGCGTACCCTTAGGTTAGGGCGGCTTAGTCATGAACCAAATGGCTAACCAGAGTATAAAATTTGATATACATATTATTGAACTTATGCTTTCTGACAGACCGGGCACCCTAGCTTGGGAAAGCTAGTCAGTAAGTCAGGTAGAACAAGAAGAGAAGAGAAGTGAATGAAGAGTATAATGAAGGTAACTCGGGCAGGCTGAGCGTACCCTTAGGTTAGGGCGGCTTAGTCATGAACCAAATGGCTAACCAGAGTATAAAATTTGATATACATATTATTGAACTTATGCTTTCTGACAGACCGGGCACCCTAGCTTGGGAAAGCTAGTCAGTAAGTCAGGTAGAACAAGAAGAGAAGAGAAGTGAATGAAGAGTATAATGAAGGTAACTCGGGCAGGCTGAGCGTACCCTTAGGTTAGGGCGGCTCAGTCATATGCTCGTGATAACAAAAGGGGCAGAGAGTTAGTATAAATCTTCTCTTATTTTTCCTTTTAAACACAAGGCAGAGTTGGATGTCTCCCTAGGTTGGGTAAGTCTGACTATCTGCCTAAGAAGAAAGAAAATCATAAAGTTTGTACAAAGTATTCATGGTTGTTTAAATTGTTGTTACGGAGGCTAAGCGTACCCTTAGGTTAGGGCGGCTTAGTCATACGTCGTATGTACTTGTTCAGGCAGACCAGACGTACCCTTAGGTTAGGACGGTCTGGTCGCATTGCCTTATGTAACTTAAACTGTTCAGGCTAACTAGGCGTACCCCTAGGTTGGGGCGGCCTAGCGATATGCCCTTGTCGTTGATGAGATGTGAGTTGGACACACCCTTAGGTTAGGACAGTCAAACTTTTGTCGTTCGTACTTGTTCTCAGGCAAATTAGGCACACCCCTAGGTTGGGGCAGTCTAATTTTATGTCATATGTAACCTTGTTTAAGGTTGGCTAGGCACACCCCTAGGTTGGGGCAGTCTAGTCTTATGCTTCATGTCGTCGGTTAAGCAGAAGCCAGGTGTACCCTTAGGTTAGGGCGGCTTGGTCATATGCTTTATGTTCATGGTTTATGTTGAGCCAGGCACACCCCTAGGTTGGGGCAGTCTGGACATACGTTCTTGTTATGTGTTGGGCATACCCTTAGGTTAGGGCAGTCCAATTGTACGTACCTTACTTGTTTATTTAGGCAGGTCACCCATACCCTTAGGTTAGGGCCTTGTCTGACCATATGCCATAAGTGAAGGGGATGTAAGAAACGAAGAACTGAGTGATCTAACGGACTACTTGGTCTAATTCAATGGGGGATTGTGAGAGATGTTGTTTATGCATGATTGTGGGCTCTCACTTTGGGGCATCGTTTGGATAGGTTAGTTGCTTTAGATGCTCGCCGAGTGCTGAAGCCATAGGCAGATGAGATGGATGATGGGAGGGAAGCTTGGGATAAGATAGGACTGACCCTGCTAGGAGTTAGGATCAGTGTTAGCTTACGATCTCATCTAGAGGTTGTGCAGGTTGTCGGTGATTCTGAATTATCAAGCAGGTGTCAGAGGTTAGTCCCAAGTATAGCTTTGCTTTGTCTTTCTGATTTCAGCTTTGTATAAATCTTGGCAGTCTCCTGTTCCTACGGGAAGCGCTGCCGAAATTTCTACAAATCTGAAAAGAGTTAGTCATTTTGGACTCGTAGAAATTCTGGGCAGGCACTTTTCCTACGGGAAGCGCTGCCGAAATTTTGCAGAATTTAGAGAGTTAGATTATTTTCAGCTAGGAGAAATCTGGCAATCCATCCTGTTTAGGGAATATGCTGTCGAAATTTCTTATATTCTTAGATAAACATCAGAGGTTAGTTAGGAAGGAAGGATTATATCTTGATCACTCAAGCATGGCGTGGGTATTGGCCTGTGCTGCATTGCAGATCGCCTTTATTCATATTGATTCAAGGCTTTACTATCTTCAAGCTGATCCTACAGGGATCACCTTCTGTTATCCTTTGATAATAGGTCGGTTTCCGGCTCAACTCTAATTCACTCTTGCCACTCAACCTAAAGGCTTTAGCCGTGTGGTTTTATTTATTTGTTGTGTTTTTACCCGGACTTTAATTGAATGGACATTTAATAAAGATGCTGAGTACTTTATTTTGAGAGTTGCGCAAAGAGTGAGGCTTGTATGGCTAAAGCGAGGGGTGTGAGCGCAAAGAATGGTTGAAGTTGACCCCGTGTAGTGTGTGCTCTATTGATGTGGATCTTTGATGTGATTATAGATATGTTCTGTGAGTTGAAGTCCAGACTTGGTTTTGCGTATGATTATATATGTATATATATTTGAAGGAACCCACACCGCGATTGTGAGAGTGATCGTCTCCTATCTCATAACTTCTATATCATGTTTCCTGTGCCCGCTCGACCCATTGAGGTCGTGCATAGTGCTTAAATAAGTTCTGCCTTGAGAGAAAAGAGAGGTCCCTTCTTAGTTCTTGCTTTTTTTTTAGTATGGTTGGACGTTGTAGTCCGTGGCAGCCGTCAAAGTCAAACCCCTTGATATTTGGCCGCCACGACAGCTCGAAGCTGTCTACTCAACCCCTCTGCACAGGGTGCAGAAGAGGGTGTGGTCTTCAACCGCACTTGGCGGTTGTCCAGCGTCGAGAGATTAACCCTCAAGGCGCGTGTCAGCCGACACTTGAGTGTCGAACTCGACCCTCGAGATTAACGAGGATCACGTGAGTATGGGTACTACATAGTACGCCATCATTGCGACCGCCTGCGTACGCTTGCATTGCGGAGCGATATGAGTTAACCCTGCGTCCGCGCGGTTTTGTACTAAGCCTTGCGCGCGACGCCTAGCCGATTTTTGCATCAGAAAGTTATGGGTCGAATACCAAAGGGACTGGGAGTGTTGTTGTGGTGTTGTGTCGTTGTGCTAGTTGTTTTGTGGCCTTCCATGAGTGTGAGTGTTGTGGTGTAACGCGTGGTGTGTGTGATGCGTCCTAGTCGACTGACGTCGAGTCGCGCTTGGGACCTCAGCCCCCCAGTGCGTCGATTCACGTACGGGTTCGATTTCAGGCGTTGACCGCGCGTACCCCCTATGCTACAGCGAACGAGAAACGCCCTCGGCTGGGCCACCTCTGCAATTGCATATGAAAAACCTTCGCATGTGGTTCAGTAGCTCGGTCGGGATACGCCCGCCTAAGGGATGGTGACAGCTCCCGCAGGTGGAGGTAAGCGGTGCCTCGCGTGACCCTATCCTGTCGTAGGGACTCGCGAGAGGTACGGCTGGCGCTCTCGGCCGGAGCGGCAAACGCTCTCCTCGACAAGTTCTGCAAAATTCTGCGTGACGCGGCCGGGAGGGTCCTCGTGCGGGACCGATGCGCTCGACAGCGGACTACTAGCGGCCCTTCCCCAATGTTCAAAAGACAATGCAAAAGCAGTTATGTCCTCTCTTCTTCAGGCCGCCATGCCTGACTCTGCCCCGAAGCCTTCTTGATGTAGCACTACCACACTTGGGGAGATGAAGATGGCGCCCACCATAGCCAGGTAACCTCGGCCACTCTCCTTCCTAGTCCCCTATACTTCCTCCTCCCGAGGGTGGGCAGCTCGCCATAGCCAAGGTGAGCGGCCAGCTCCTCCGTCCTCCTTCCAGCGGCACCCTGAGGTCCAGCACCCGCTCAAGCAAGCAGCATGACGCCCAAACATGCACACCACAAATGAGACTGAGCTCTTGGCTCGGCCTCCAGATCTAGTGAGGCAACTTGCCTCTTGGGCGGTGACTTCCTGGCTGCTCGGCATCCGAGGCAACCGGTTCCCTCCTCCTTTCGGAGGGAAACATCATTGCAGGTCTGATATCCTCCGCACAGGCCCTAGACTCGGGCTACTTGGACTGATACCCGCCTACCTAGGCCTACTGGTTCCTCGGTCTCTAAAAATCCTAACTTTTTGTCTTCTTCTGCTAGGCCTACCAGTACTTGAGTGCTACCGGCCTAGGCTACCCGCTACTTGAGTAGCCCTAAGCTACCTCTCGGGCACATGAGTGTTTCCGCATTGCAACCCTCAAAGTTACGGCCACAGGTAAGTACCGGCCCTGCGGGCCTCTCAAACACAGAAGTGCCCCGGCGGGCCACGCACACACTCAGGCAGGCTTGCACTCAGACAGGCACTCAGAAACCACCAAACACGTTCACACACAGACTTAGAAATCTCAGCAAAAAGCAGGAATTCTCAGCAAACCCACATTCCAGCGGGAAAACTCAGAAATCAGCACAGTTCTCAGTCTGTGATTTTGCAGGTCATTTTGTTGGCTTGTTTGTTTGTTGGTTTGTTGGTTTGTTGGTTGGTTGGTTGGTTGGTTGGTTGGTTGGTTGGTTGGTTTGGTGGTTTGGTGGTCTGTTGGTTGGTTGGTTGGTCGGTCGGTTGGTTGGTTGGTTGGTCCGTTGGTTGGTTGGTTGTTTCTTAAAAAAGCGATTGGTGTTTTGTGACAAAGTTCTCACTGGACTGTGGCTGTGATGAAATGCAGGGGGCTTTACACTTGCAGAAATCCATGCTTGGGTATGCTTCTGCCTTCCAGATGGTGAGCTCTCTCTCTCTCTCTCTCTCTCTCTCTCTCTCACACACACACACACACACACACACACACACACACACACACACACACACACACACACAGGTAGAAGGGTGATTGCGATCGGGCCGACCGCATGCTATGGGCTGAAAGTGTATTCTGTGATAAGGAAAACCTACCCTCTCTCTCTCTCATTATGTCGTTGTTTTAAAGGACCACTGTACTGACACATCAGCACTGCGGAGACAGTTGCATGATGTCACTGAAATTTAAAATTTTTCAGTTTTTAACTTTTTACTATTTAGTTTTTTTTTTTTTTTTTACTATTTAGTACTGTGAGGAACAAGCCCTCAAGTGGCCCTACCAGACATCACATTGTTCTGGGCTAAGGCCCCAGCAAGCCAAGTGCCCGCCCTAAGTGAAGGCGGGCCTGAATATTTGTCACAGGCCAAATTCGACATTTCCATATGTGGGTATTCAGGCTATTGCAGCGCGTCAGTTGGTTGAGTGAACGTGCGAGCGTCACTAAGCTGCGTCGTACAGTTGGCCCAGGCCACGAAAGTTGTGCCTGGGCATATACACACAAAGCAGGGCCGATACATTGAGAAAGGCCGTCGGCCTTTGGGAAAAGCAGTACTGCCGACGCATCTATCCGGGGGCCCTGCTCAGATACAGCCAACAGCCTGGCTGTGCCCAACTGAAAACGGCCCAGGCCCTGAACTGTAAGTCTCGAGCCTGGGCTCAGGGTCTGGGACCCAACCGGACGTTTTCTGGAAGCTTCCAGCCAGGCCACACGCAGCATCCAGCAGGCTGCCACTTCCACAAAAGGAGAAGGGCAGCCCAGGCCAGCCATTCTGGCCAGTGCTGGCATTGGGGAAGTGCTGCTGCGCTATTGCCTTGATGCTGCACTGCTGCCAAGGGCGCTGACGGAGCGCAAGAGGTGTAGTGGGGCGCTGCAGGGCAGCGGGGCGCAGGCAGCCATAGGCGGGCTGCTGGGCGCCAGGGGGTACAGCGGATAATCGGGTGGTCTTCAGGGAGTGAGGCGCTGTGTGGGATAATCAAGGTCKGATTGAGGGTGACGAGATACGTACCTGGTACATGAAGAGAGGTCGCCGATGGTGTTGACAGTCATGTACATTGGTCTTCGTGAGCCGAAGTGATCCTGTTGTGTGAACCAGCTGTAGAGTAGGATAGTGTGGTAGAGTAGGCTGGGCGTTGTGCGCCAGACAGAGAGAGCGACTCTGGATACTGTGTTGGTGTGGCCTACGGGCTTGGACATTGGCTCAATACTTCATTGTATTGCTCTATATGGATGGTTTTCTCGGTGCATTTGTACTCTCTACGTGGGATACTACTACTTGCTCAGCTGTGTGATTTCGCAACTTGGTTTTATGTATATCGCTCACACTCATATTCCTTGCAGTACTTTTTTATTCAGAATAAAAAAAATCAACCTGCAATTTTTCTGATTGGTGATCATCTTTCCCTTGCCTTCCAATGTTTCTCCTCTCTGCACACTGTTATAGTCCCTCCGAGGCCTCCAGGAGATGAAGTTTCCTCCGCATTTGTCTCATGCACCATCTCCACGGTGCTGATGTGTCAGTACAGGTCAGTCACTCTGCTGGGACTCTGTACCTTTTCATTTCTTTTTAAGGAAACTCTGTACTTATGGACATCTATGTCTTTCATGCCTGATCTGACCCATCCGGCGTCCGCATCATTGTTTTCCGTTTTTTTTTTTCCTGTTTTGAAGTGTTTTCCTTTTTTCCCTTCGAAAAATTTGGACCATTTCTCAATTTATGTCTCATTCTTGAATGCGCACGGGCCATGGTAATATGCTCTGTGTCATTCCAATTTTCACGGATGTCCCGGCAAGCCAAAAGTGAGGCCCGAACGCGCGTCACCTCTGGGCCTATAACTCATTTGGTTAGAGTATACGCACGACTGGTAAGCGTGGCATCAGTAGTTCTTTTTTTTTTTTTTTCCTTCTTTTTGTTTTTTGTTTTTTTGTTTTTTTTTTGTTTGGGTGTTGTAAAGGCAGTAGTTCAAATCTACTTAGGCCCAATCTGCTCTGCTGGCGAGCCGTGCTCGCAAAAGTGTTTTCTTTTCTTTTATTTGATTTTCCTTCGGCCTTTCATCTCACAGCGAGCGCACCACGGGATGGCGGTCCGTCTTGAATCTCGATCTTTTTTTTTTTTTTTTTTTTTGAGGGAGTTAAGAGAAGCATCCCTTTAATTGCACTTCACAATGTGAAAACAAACAAACAAACAAACAAACAACAACAAGTTAACAACGTGGCTTTTTTCTTTTTTCTTTTTTCTTTTTTCTTTTTGCTTTTTTCTTTTTTCTTTTTTCTTTTTTTTTTCCTTTTTTTCTTTTTTCTCTGGGGGACCTGAGTCGTGTTATATGCTGATTCTCATCTTCATGTGGGTGGTGGTCCACATAATTCTTATTATCAACTTATTAACTAAATGCAAACTTATGAGCTTACACATGTTTGACAACATATGGCCACTCTGTTTTTTTTTTTTGGTTTTTTGTTTTTTTTGTTTTTGATCAGCCATTGTAATAATTGCAGGACACCAGGTCCAGCGTCCTGTGCAATGATGACCCGCTGTACGCGAAGCCTTCCTTTCAACATGGTTGAAGGACACTGAGACAGAGGCATTGATTGCGTCCCTCTTTTAAAGAAGGACGATTTACCAGTGCTCTACTCGTGTAAGGAAGTCCACCCTTTCTAGCTCACCGGAGCCTGAAAGGCCGCCTGCAATTCCTTTGCACTGCTGGTCCGTGCCAGAGCTAAAACTTGAAAGGCGTTGTTTTTCAGTTTCTGCCCAGGTTGAAAGGCTGTTCGTGCGAACAGGTCTTTTCTGAAGGGTGCATGGGTGCATGTTGACGAGTATCATCCAAAGGGGAGGAGGGGCGGCGGGGGAAAGCACCAGTGCACTGTTTCTGAGCCCGTGGTGTGCATACTGCTTTAGAGAGCCCTTGGTGTGTGTGTGGGTGTGGGTGTGTGTGTGTGTGTGTGTGTGTGTGTGTGTGTGT